TCTATCTATCTATCTATCTATCTATCTATCTATCTATCTATCTATCTCTCTCTCTGTCTATCTATCTATCTATCTATCTATCTATCTATCTATCTATCTATCTCTATACCTATCTATCTATCTATCTATCTATGTTTCTATCTATGTTTCTATCTATCTGCACCGGCAAGCCGGAAAAACGTTCGGTGCGTGTGGGCGCCGCGAGAAGCATCCACTCGACCGAGGACATGGTGCAAGTATAGTTTTTGCTAGGGTACGGGAACCATGTAGTCAACCTCGCAGGCATCCCCGCCGAAACTCAATCCAAATTCATGGACTTGAACTCATGTCACTTTCGGTTCTCTATGGATTTCGCGAGTTACGGGTTGTCCTGGGAACTCGTATCCTACGCGCGGCTGCGGTCTGCTCTGTACATGGGTCCCTGTCTCCACTCCAGTGCTCAATGCCCATTGTCCAAATAGCCTCCACAGCCCTTCATATGCTAATGATGCACTACTCGGCACCAAGCTCCGGGTTCACCCTCTCAAATTGTGCCTTTTAGCAGCCTCCCCCCCACACCCCCTTAACTCACTTCGTTCGCTCTAAAAGCTCAAGCCTAGCCTATCGGCTGGCTTTCGTAATATATATAGTATAACTGTCATGTAAAAATAACCTTCAGACGGCCAGAAATCTTCAAGATCTACTGCTATACCCAACTTCATCCACCTTGGTAGCCAATGGTAAGTTAGAATGATTTGATGGGCTGTCGTCATCCCAAACCAAAAGGACATGATCTCAGGATTTTCAGGTCGCCCGGAAAGCGGTCCAGGGCGGTGCCTTGCGACGATGCGACGCCACAATGTGCTTGGCCACGGTCAAGTCTTGGGTCTCATCACGGATGTCCTGCGGGTGGAGAGTGGCGTTGAGTCTACTGAGCGCCTGGGCCTGCTCTCGACTGCATGTAAATTCTGAGGTGCTTGTGCAGGGGGAAGTTGAGCCTTCCTCCTAATGATCTTCGTGCATGCTCCACAACTCTCTGAGATCCATCTGCCACCTCATGTGCATCATTCCACAACTAGACACCATACATACATATCATATGCATCGTCGTTACGACTTCATGGGTGACGTCGGGGCCAACCGCCCCAGGGACCCAAACTCTGTCACTACAAAATGCATGGATGTCAAGGAGTGAGACCTTGCAAAATGATTGGGGGTGGTATAGTCAAGAACTGCTCCGTAAAGATTCTTGTGGATAGTTATATTCTGGGGCAATCACTACAATTCAATGAAAAGAAATAAAAGATACAGTAGTAGGGGTTGTAGCCTACTCCTGCAGTCACTGGAGTTGGGGCCCGAAAATTGAAGAAAAGTGACGTCAGGTCCCGTGATTCTATATGGCGGTATGGCATTATTCTTTGATATGTGTTGTGCACTTTACATGATCTTGGTGCAAGCTGTTGCTCCAAAAGCTGCAGAAAACAAATGAAAGCAACCTTTTGTACAAAACAGTTTCTCCACCACGAAGTCCTTACAGAGTTAGGGGCCTAAACGTCATTTCCCTTTGGATACTATAAAATGATTGGCCTAAAGGTCATGATCATATAAAAATAAGTTTAAAAAAGAAAAAAAACTGTTATATGGGCCTTGAGGTCATCCGTTCTATAAAGGAAATGTTGATGTCGACATACATTCATACATGTACTGAAAAACACTTGTGGGTATCCATTAGAGGGTCAGACTGAGATGAAGTATGTTGTTCTTGCTCTCAATTCATGCTAACCCACAGCAGCAAAGAGATGCCCACGCAATCGCCAAGGCCACAGCGCCTGCATCACGAAGAAGAGGTCAAAACGCGACATGATCGGAGGGCTCAGCTCGCAGTTCTTGTGCAGGGGGAGTGTGGCCCTTGGCGGAAGTTTGAATAGTGCGGCACTCTTGATTCCTCAAGAACACTCTTGGATTTCTTATGATTTCTCCCAATCACCGAATGTACCAGGTTAGACATCTTAATAGTGATCCCAGGCACGAGAGACATACCTTGCTGGGGAGTGCAGGGAACTCGGGGCTTAAGACTTCCGTGTCTACACTGATGCAGGTTGGGCACTGCGCATGATTGAGTAAATAGTAACTGCAAATGTTAAGTTTCCCTAAAAATCTAGAAGCCAAATCATTAGTCATTAGTGCGAGCGCTTCTTCAAGGAAGCTTCCCTGCCGCCTTTAGGGCGGCGGGGGTAGCTTCCTTGAAGAAGCGTGAGCTATCCTGCGTCCAGTTACTAGTAGCTACCAGCTACTACTAGCTACCTGTGGCGCACAATGCGCTAGTTACTAACAGCATCCTTTAGCCAGCATGCAAATGCATGCACCGAAGGGAAACTGGTGCTGAGAAGGGGTTACAAGAGGATTCTGTGCAAGGGATCGATGAGGTATGGTGTTGAGCCACATCCGTACTCGAGACAAACCCCGACCAAGTGATTCCAGCTTGTCACAAATCTCCGCTGGGTCCTTCGTTGCTTCCCGCGCTCATAGACAGCCATGTGACTGGTAGTAGGTGTTCTTCGGCAAAACCGATGCCAAAATGGAACAGCGGGCCTGGGACATTGATGAACATGCAGTCAATGCAGTACAACATTCCAGAAATTGAAGTCGTTATCACAATTTCCACAGATCCTCAGTTCTGCAGCCTCCACTCTTTACAGCCAAGCTGCGTTCAACGTGGCCTGAATGCCAGCCTGCATGGGGGTTGTGCAAGACCGAATCCAAAATGGAGACCTTCAATGTGTGTTGATGAGGCAACTGACACCACCTTCGCAACCAGCAGCAGTTGCAGTCCTTCAGACCTCCCCCTAACGGTTGGATATCTCTCAAAGTCGTACCCTCAATGAGACAATCATACTACAACTGCAATCGTATGCAAAAGAAACATCAATACCAAATTACCTCGTGTCATATTCTTGTCTATTCTCTTACAGTAGTACTTCTTTTATGCGTGTCCCAATCATACCATCTTCTTTGTGTGACCCTCCGTCCTGCCTTGGACAAGGTGATGGTCTGCTGTTCCATGGCTTCATGGATTGCAACCATGTCCTCGCCAGCATCGCATGTGGTGAACGAATGTGAACGAGGCAAAACGCTGATTCAAGATGGATAGGATAGGCAAAGGATATATTTCATCAGATTGTTGTCTTCTCGGACAGGACTAGGCTCACCATGCCTTTGTGATAGCTTAGACTCAGATCCAAAGAGGCCTTCTTTGTGCAAAAAGATATGTCCGATACTCACGATGCCCGATACGATGCAGATGCTCAGACTCAAAGGTCCCACCTTGATATCCATGAGCTCGAACTCATCAATGCAGCAAACACCATTGTCCTCCGAGGCTGCAATGATTAGCACAGCAAGTGGTTCTTTTCTACTATAAAGGAGTGAAAAGAGGGGTCTGAAGAATTGATGGGCTGCAAGACAAAGAAACCGATCTCTTCAAATGACTATTGTTCAAATCAACTTGATGGAAATCCGAGTGGCTAGAATTGACATGTTTCTGGCAAAGAAATGGTATCGGCATCGGGCATGGTATCTTCTGACTCCACCCCACCTCCGTCGTATCGAGTATCGAAACACCAGCAACGTTGCATCTGAGGCTCCGCAAGCATCAAAGCACCGGGCTCGATGAGCCGTTCATTGTCCAGGTCATTGTCCTGAAACCATGTCGTTCTCCAAGGGCTCGGTGGGGCGATCGGCTGGGGCGAAAACATAGAGCAAGCGGTTACGATGGGCCACATGGGCAAGACTTGCTAGAGTCAAAGGAAACAAATCAGCAGGATTGTTACTGTATTGCAATTGTGAGGTTTCATTTGGCTCCAGGGCACACGAGATATGTTTTGTGTTGACCTATGTTGACCTTGGCTGCCACACAAATCCGCTCACCAGTGGTCAGAAGCTGGTGACAGCGATTCGACCCTCGATATCCCTTGATGACCAACAAGTGCCTCGCTACTAGGAACAAGTGCATCGCTACTAGTAGTAACAAGTGCCTTACTAGTAGTAACAAGAAGCTATTTAAAAAAAAAAAAAAACACATATGATTCTGATTTGGGTACTTCGACCTACTTCGACCCTCGATATCCCTTGACCCGATCAAAAACTAGCAAACCCCGCCCACCAGTGCAGGCCTTCACCACTGATGCTGTCAAACCTGCGGCAGTGGAGCTTTTGCCCGAGGTGAAGACCGCACGCCTTGGCTGATCTTTATGAAAGGGATGGGGTTCTCATGGGTCTTCTGTGGTCGCAGATCTAATTCGGGTCTGTTGGGTCATGGCATCTGCATCCGCATCATACGAGCCCTCTTTTCCAGGCTTTTCGAGGTGTTACAAATGCCAGGGGCTATGAAACTATCCCTCTGCATCAACAACATGAAAAAAAACATGTCTGCAACATCCTGCAACCCCAGTTCTTTCCCCATACACTCAAAATACATTGTGAGCCTCGACATCCCGTTTAGCACTTGAAACATTAGAAGTTACTTCATACGCTAAAACAGTCTCATACGGCATCCAACTTCCAGAAGACGGTCTGAAAAAGATACGTCCAAAACAAAAACAAGCTGTTGTTCAGGCGTTTGTTTGACAAGCAGTACGGAAGCATGGCATATTTTCAAGAGTATTATGTATGGTTCACTTGATGCATCTCCGCTGATCAGTGGGATCTTCTGCAACAAACCCAACCCAACCACTCATCAACGAGCAGCGGAAGGAATTTGGACACCCATCGCAACATCTCACTCTTTCCAGTTGCAGGATCGCCCAACCTAAGTTTTGCAGGGCCTGAAGGAAGTTGCAAACACCTCTCAACACAAGCCCTTGGATGTTAGGTGGATATGTACACAAATGACAAGAAACACACCATCATCATGCTTGTAGCATGGCTCGTTCCGCATTCCTTTTCCAAGATGTGTGGTTTTCCTTTAGAATTGCTTCAAAGCAACAAGCAAACGTTGACGTCTCCACGAAGCTGAATTCCCTCCATGGTCGATTTCTTCACACCACCTGATTCGGTGCCGTGCTGATTCGGTGCGGACTTGCGGTCTTATGCGAGTGGCTCCAGTAGAAACGGCTGGCCGCCACTTTGGACAGGACAATTCTGAGTGCCCTGCCAACCAGCATCAACAAGATGCCCTGCAAGCATGAGCATGGACAAGACTGCAACGTTAACATCATTAATTAACCCGATTATGGGGATGGGGAGATGATCCGAACAATGTCATGTCCCTGAAAAAGACCAGGGATGCCTTCCGATGAATGTCAATCCGTCGCCTTCTTCACTTCCAGATAGCCGCTGATGCTTGGGGCCACTGCGCGAGCCAACAAGTCCAGGCAGTCACGCTTCCCACTCACATTCACGTGCTCAGAGATCTGCTCAAAACGTTCCTGTACAATTAAGACCAGCCAGGTTCGAAAATCATCTTCCCTGAAGGTACAAAATGGTACAAAGGCAAAGCAAGTGCCAGGGAACAGGTCTGCGCCTTGTCGACCTGCGACAGGTACATCTTTTCTTCAGATCGAATGTTCTCGCTCTTCTCCTCGCTGCCGCGGCTTGCCCAATCCGAGTCCTGCAACACTGTGGAGCAAAACCTTGACCGTGGAGGCTTGGGAACCCCTAAAAGGGCATCGCCTAGGCATGGACTTCCTGGAATGCTGACCTTTCATGACCTTTCCACACTGCTTCCCTGCATGCCCCCCCAAAGAAGGCCACCTCATCAATGTAGGTGCCAAAGAATGCCAGCTTGTAGGTGAGGTCCCTGTTTCCAACGGACTTCAGGCCGCGGATTCCCTCACCAGCAGCATAGGATGGATCCGACCTTCACGAGCGAATATGAAAAATCGACAGCGGGGAGCGCAGAGTTCCCACATAGCACGAGCGAAACGAGTTCAAAGACATATAACGCCATGCAATACATTGCCCAGTGCATCCTAAACTGAAATGGTTGACTTGGGCAGCTTCGCTTGGCTTGCCAGGACAGCTTAAAGTGAGCTTGAAATCATCCCTTCCCGCAACATCACATGTACATACATCATCATACATCTACCCACCTCACCTGGTGTTCAAAGATCTCCGCACCGTGGCCTTCAGCTCACCAGGGCTCATCAAAGTAGGTACATCTGGGACGACAATCAGCGATCCGGTGATCTGGATCTTGTCACCTGCCTTACACTTCTCGGTACAGTCATCTCTTACAATGACATCCATGGTCTGTGGCATGGATCCTGCTGGGACTTCATGCTCATTCTCTTGTAAGCGAACACGTTGCCAATCTCCCCATCGAGTCGAACGGCTCTCCGCAAGCAGGCTCCAATTCGTGGTGTTGCCACAGTTCTTCGTTGGACACTTCGGCGGTGTTGTCACTTTGAACTCTTGCGATACACCGCTGATTTCCCGGCGGCACTCGTTGCATTTCCATGTGGCCACTAAGAGCTCTGGCTTGATATCGGTGGTGCGTGTGACTGTACCACAAATCGTCACAAGCCTGGCGTTGGCTAGGCAAGCAGGAGTCTCACTCATGCTCCCGCAAAGGGTGCTAAAGAAATACGTGTGCTTCATTCGTTACAGGTAAGAATCCCTCCTTCGTGCCAACAAAACCATGCAAAACCCACAGTTCACAAGATCAGTTCTTTGAATCCGATTTTAACCTATGCCGCGCTGCCTGCCAAGCTTTTCAGTTCGCAGGTCTCGGATGCCACTGTAGGTCGCCAGGTCATAGAAGGCGACCGTAAACTTGAGCCTGAAGCGAACGCTCGACAACTCGGCAATCCAAACGGTAAGTTTGATAGACAAACGCTGATCTTGCACCCAAGAAGCTCGTCCATCTTTTCCACCTGCAGACGCAACACACTGAAAACTGCACTCTCTAGAGCAAGGCACTCCTTGTGCCACTCTTGCTGGGCCATCCTACTGTTTCAATATGCTCTGTGGGTTCGAATCCTCAAGACTCAAGCCAACACAGGCATCCCAAAAAACGCTTTCGCGGCTGTCCAGACCATTGCGCATTTTGAAGTCCATGAGAGTTGTAAGGAACTACGTATCAAAAATTGAACCGTTGTACATTATCGGTGAGTCCAGCGGGCCTCTGCTTGCAAGTCAGGATCTTCCAAGTTTGAAAGCAGTTGCGGCAGCGCAGCCTCCCAGCATTTAGAGGGACAGGAAAGGATTGGTTGAAGCTAGATATGACGGCATCCTTGCGAAGGAGGACGCTGGGAAACTCAAGTTGTTTGAGGCTAACATAACATAACTTAACTTCATATTGTTCTAGAGGCCCGTTGCCTGGCCCATGCTGGCTAGGTCCTCCCATCAAGCCCAGGGACTTGCACACAAGTCATATTGGGTGGGTTGAATGGTTTGTGTATCAACTTTAAGCGAAAAAGAAGCGTTCAAGTAGCCATGTCTGAATGAAGCAACACTTAATATATATATATATATATGTGTGTGTGTGCCTGTGGTGCATGTGGCACATACATAATATTCATAGATAGGATCCGCATTCAGCGGCCATCTCTGATATATAAAACCATGGGTCATGGATGTACATACACATATATGTTATATAGATATATACTGTATACATATATATATAGCGTTATATTACGTGTATACATATAATTACATATCGTTATTGTAAATATGATACAATGGCGTCGCCGAGTGTCATTGACGGCATCTCGCACAACCATGTACTTGCTGTGGATGACAGCGATCAGATCTTCAGGTTCGAAGGAGACAACATCTCGGTCAGCCTCTGGCACGCAAAAGGCTCTTAGGAGCAAGGACGCTACTAGGGGCTCCTGGCATCGCTACTAGGAGCAAGGATGCTACTATCGGATCTTGCTGTGGAAAGTCGGATGCTTGAAGAAACTTGACTGGAGCCGTTTACAGCTGAAGTTGACTGCAAGTGGCTCACGCGGTCAAAACAAGAACTGACCCATAGAACAGCCTGCTCCAAATGACCCATCTTCACATACAGGGTCTTCTTGTTTTCCCGCACCATTGCCTTGGCAGGCTGAATGCCAGGATTTGCACTGAAGAAATCATCTCTGTGCCAAAGCTTGGCTTTAGATTTGAAAGAAAGCCACTAAAAACTACTGATACTATCAAATCTGGCCACACGGTAAGCATGTAAGGCCGTGTAAGGCATGGTGAATGGCATCTAATGATGTTGCTCTGTTTGCTTTGAGTTTGTCGAGTAGTTTGATGGTTCTGTGACAAAGAGTGGACAAGAGTGGACAATGCCTTCCCCGGTCGTTCTTTGCACCTGCCACCGCCTGTCGTCTTTCAAGCCGTAGCGCTTTCGCTTGGCTCACATAGTAAAGGTCATCCTCACGGCCTCCATCTTCGGTTGGTCGCTTGAAGGTCTGTAAAAACCTTAGGTCACCAGTCACCAGTCTTCCTAAGAATCCCACCCTTTCCATCGCTTCTCATCCTGTGTGGACCATGTTGGACCGGAGTACAGTTTCCTGATTGTAAAATATTGCCAAGTTTGTATGTTCAGCAAGGAGTGGATCGCTCAGCATAAATTGCCGTGTTAATGAAACGCTTCCTTCACCTTGTTCCACGTTGGGTTGAAGGACAAAGGATCCACCCTCCGCAAACTTGCTGTGGCAAGAAACAAATACAAAACGAAAGTATATTTGTTGAAACAACTGGTGTGCTGATGTATAGGACTTACCTGCCAGTTGTGGGGTCTCCAAACTACCGGTCTCACAGTGCCGAGATTCTCCAGGAAGTATTTTTGCACACGCTGTACCAGGTGGCTGCGCGTGTGGGGATCCATGACCTCAGCAATGAGATCAGGCAAAACCTCCATCAAAATCCAGGGCCACAGCACCAAACCCTACGCCAGTGTGAAGCTTCTCCAAGAACAGCAAAAATACAATCATTTCTTGTTGAACATGCATCCCCTTGAATCAACTTGGGCGCACCATGATGGCCAAGACAGCCCAAAACATCAGGGTCAGCCAGCCCAGTCTTCATGGTTTAAGTTTCATCATGACAATCAGTGGAGAATACCTTTGCATGACAATCCACGGTGTTTCTCACAAAATACTTTTATCAAAATGAACCTCCCCCCAACAGCTGTTTGTGAATCGTGTGTGTGTGTGACAAACACAAAACACATATGTGACTCCAGAAGTTTTGAAGAGCAGAAAGAGCCATGCAAATTATATGATGATACCTCTTTCTGCAGGTATACCATGTGCCTTACAATACATGCATTGTTTTACTTTAAGGCCATCTTTGTATTAATTTGTTCAACCCCAAACACGAGCCGCTAAAACTGAGTTGTCTGCCTTCAAAAAGCTCTTGGACCTGAGCCCTGCAATAGGTCAGATGCTATGTTGAGCCAGCAGACTGCGAGATGATGCTGAACTCTTTGGGTTGAGCCATTCCAATAACCAATGATGGTCACGCGCATTGCATTTGGATTGTACCATATGAAGGATATGGAAAAAGAATGCCACTCACTGCACACGAAGCAGTACAAGCTTCTGTTGTTTCAACATAGCGGAAATCTCAAAACTCGAGGCAAACCATCAACTCCTTCTAGGACCTCTCATGCCCGAAACCACTCCTCGAAGGCGGAAAGAAAGCTTGAACTCCTTCGTCCTTTGCCTTTGCCCTTCCTTGAATATCGCCGGACGGTCCAGCGAGGGAATAACACCCTTGGATCGACGTGGTTCCGCGTTGAGCTGGTAAGTTCGAGATCATTCGCAACAGTTCGTAAACACCTTATTTGAAAGGCCAAGCAGTGCCTCCGCCCAAAAATTTGGCTGCTTAATCTGGGCCTCTACATGGAAAGTCGACATGCATCTACAGTATGTCTATTTCAATATAAATTGATAACCACCTAGTCATGACAAAGTTCATGTTGTATGTCCGACAACCGCCAAGGATAGATTCGAAACGTGCCTCCCTTTGCAAGGAAGGCTTCAACCACTCCCAGGTTCATGACGAGCGGATTTGCACTCCAAGACACGATGAAGGGCGCGACCCACCCTTTTGCCACTCTTCGTCCTTACCATACCACAAGCCAGCAGGACTAAAGAAAGGACTGCACACTGCACACAAGTGATAGAAGGGGAGTATATGCACTAAAACTTTGTTAGCACGGCTACGGGGAAAAGTCGCGTGCCGCTTTTACCTACCGTGCAAAACGCACCGGGGCTCCGCTACCACTGAAACAACGCACCGGCTCCCCTATTTTCCAGCGCTCCTGAGCCTTGACAGGCTGTTCAATCAACGGTCAGGCCAAGGCCTCTTTAAAGGGTTGTTCTATACCCTAAACCTTTTCCAATCTGAGTTTGTCTTGATGTATCTCATTGATAACTCCCCCTGTGTTTGCAGGTGTCAATGTCCTCCTCCACAGGCTGACCCTTCTCAGCAGGCCTTCCCAAGGGAGCCTTAACGTAAGCAGAAGCGTTTCATCTCAGCAATGGAACCTATGGCAACCTATGGAAACCAAATTTGGAAATATGGGTTACAACCGTAGAAGAGATGGACAAACAATTGTGAGATAGTTCTGCTCTATATCAACTGTCCAACACCTGCATTTCCGCGAATTGGCGAAAGGAGAGGTCAAAGAGTTGCCGAGCCGGTGGGGGGAGTGGCGTGCAAGTATGAGCTGCTTGCCGAAAAACACTTATGTGCGTTTGGCTTTCAAACGTCTAGAACTACTGGAATCAGCATTTGGCATTAAATGAAGAGCTTCCAAAGTGAGGCTAAATCCAGCTTCCAGGCTATGAAGCCATATAAGTATGTTGTTTCAGGTGGAGCTAGAGCTATCCAAGGTCGGAGCTGAGTTCTTGCCCCATTTGCCTCAGTTGGAGGAGATGAGAAGGAAAACTCGGTGAAGACGGAAGCTGGCTGGGCCCCTTTAATAGGCCCCCTTTAAAGCCTTATCAAAGGGGCCCAAACAGCTTCCTTCTTCTCCTCATACTCCTTGCTCCTCCATGCCAAAAAGGGGCTGTTGAAGCAAAGGTGCTCAGACAAAAAATGCGGACCAATGGGCTGATGAATCTGTTGGTTATGTTCATGGATTGACGGAAGCTAGCTCATCTTGGCTGCAATTTCAACCCTTGGCCTGCCTTTGCCACGAGATTCTCGCGAAAAGGCTCCCGTCTTGGGACGCTCCTGGATGACCCGGATCCAAACGGACGCTTTGTTCAGGCTACGGACTGGCCAACTGCCAGATACCGTTGCGAATAGCCATGCCGCCGTCATATGCTCTCTTAAGAAAGAAATCCTCCGGCAAAGCGAACGGAAAGCTAGTCTCAGCTGCCCTCCTCCCGCTGCTCCCCGATCTCTTTCTGCAGCCTTAGCATCTTCTCCTCCCCAAGTGTGGTTGAAGAGATGGTCTCAGCATTTAACTTCGCACGACATGAAATGTGGTTGCGAAAGTTCTGATCTGGCCGTACTCAATAGGCTAGGATCCAGACAATCGGAGTGACATTCTACCCCTGTCTTCTAAAAAGTAAAACTGGCGGATGTAGAGCGTGAGCATTCAAGTTATGTATCTTTCAGGGGCCTCATGAAGGGTTGACCCACCTAAGAAGGCGCGTGGTATCCATGCTCTCAATTGTGATGGGGCTTTCTTGGTGACCAATCGACTCATTGGAGTTGTCACAACCGCCGCTTATCATTGGCCAAGATTCCGCCTAGTGACATCCTCGGTCCCATGTACACTGTATTCTGAGCCAAAACGATGCAGGAATTCCTTGGCATGCAGTTTATTCCAACCTTGTGAACTTCAACCCACTTCGTGACTGGAATCTAGGTTGAGCCATTGAGACTCGACATAGTCCATGTTGCAAACTCACTATATATTTACTCGCTACATAGTGTACATTGGGGATGGTCAACGAGTCAACTGCCACGCTTTGCCTCATCCTTTGCCCGTCCACCAGCCAATGGCGCTGTTTTTTTTTCATGACTTTCGCGTTCCATCCCTGCGGGCCTCATTCCGCACCCACTCAGTAACCTCAAAGCTTCATCCAAACATCACGGCACAAAAAAGGAGCAATCACCCGTCTAAGCCGCTTAGCCCGGGTTTTGAACACCTCACGTTGGGGGAACCCAAAGGTGCCAGTTCCAGCCTTCTTTCGCAGGTCAGGTGAGCGGGAACAGTCCTCCAGGCCTAGACACAAAAGACGCAGGTTGTGAACTGAACCAACACACTGCTTCCTGCAATTTCATTTCATATGCATTTATCAAAGGAAGTTTAGTGTGCAAAACTTCCGTGTTACGGACATTCAACAGCTGTTCAACCACCACTCATCATACACCACTCATCATACACCACTCATCACACACCACTCATCACACACCACTCGTCATACACTACTCATCATACACCACTCATCACACACCACTCATCATACACCACTCATCACACACCACTGATCACACACCACTCATCATACACCACTCATCATACACCACTCATCACACACTACACCACTCATCATACACCACTCATCACACACCACTCATCACACACCACTCATCACACACTACTCATCATACACCACTCATCACACACCACTCATCATACACCGCTCATCACACACCACTGATCACACACCACTCATCATACACCACTCATCATACACCACTGATCACACACCACTCATCATACACCACTCATCATACACCACTCATCACACACTACTCATCATACACCACTCATCACACACCACTCATCAGATTGCGTGGCAGGTGCAGCACTTTGTGAACCCCCATGTGCAGATTTCGTGGCAGGCACAGGACTTTGCGAACCTCCATGTGCAGATTTGGTGGCAGGTGCAGCACTTTGTGAACCTCCATGTGCAGATTTCGTGGCAGGCACAGCACTTTGTGCACCTCCATGTGCAGATTTCGCGTCAGGCGCAATACAAAATGCGTTGTGGAGAGATAGCGAACGCACGAAAGGCTGTATTTTTCAATGGAACCGATGGCTCCGAAGCTGGCAAGTCAAGGTTTGCGGAACGACGGGCGCGAGACGGTCTCGGGTCATGCTCGAATCGTCCGTCCATTGGGATTAGAGTTTTCACTTGTTTCTTGAAGCGCAGATTTCGTGGCAGGTGCAGCACTTTGTGAACCTCCATGTGCAGACTTCGTGGCAGGTGCAGCACTTTGTGCACCTCCATGTGCAGATTTCCTGGCAGGCACAGAACTTTGGGAACCTCCATGCGCAGATTTCGTGGCAGGCACAACACTTTGTGAACCTCCATGTGCAGATTTCGTGGCAGGTGCAGCACTTGGTGACCCTCCATGCGCAGATTTCGTGGCAGGTGTAGCACTTTGTGAACCTCCATGCGCAGATTTCTTCGCAGCTGGAAGCTGAGAACTGGCGACTTTGTAGTACAACTTTAGTACGCGGAGGAATCTGTGAGCTGGACCAATACTTTCGTTTGCCGTAGGCTTGGCTCCTTTATGCTGCCTGTGGGGGTGCGCCGCAGATTTTTCGTAAACAGTGACGGAGTACGTCGTTGCGGACTGCTCTACCACAGCCTTCGTTGACCGCGCTGAGCAAACATGCATGGGACGAGGTGAAGAAAAGCAAAGCTGTGGGTGGTGTGCTGTAGGCATGAGATGCATGGGCAAAAAAAGAGGAGAGCTTTTCTACGGACCATGAATGTCATGTGTTTCCGAAGCCGTTTCTTAATTGTAGTTGTTTCTTATTTGAGGCGTACATCGAGATGGAGAGACAGCGCAGAGTTGGTGCGCGAGTGTTGAAGCACTCACGCTTTTCTGCGTGGCGTGTGGTGGTGTGACCTGCGTTGCGGTGGAAATTGTAAATTCGAAGTCCTGTGTAACTAAATTCATTCCGACGCGCGGTGGTGTGACCCGCGTCATGTAGCCACCCTCGTAGCTAGAGAACCACCCCCGCCGCCCGTTGTTCCACCTCGTCCAGCCCTGCCAGAGGCGCTGGGTGAACCATTCCTTGCTCTTGTCGGGAGGCATCGATCTGCGTGCGTCGCTGTGGACCGCGCAGACAGCCGGAAAATGCATTGCCCGACGAGGAACAGTTTCGCTGTTTTTGCACGGAGGAGCACACCAAATGTTGGAAGAAATGGTTTTGACTTTGAAAACACCACCCACTTCGCGTGCCCGCGGCAGCTGCATTTAACTTTCAATTGCAGATGCCCAGTTGCTTCAGCACGCCGGTGTGGGCTGCTGATCTTGCCTGGGTATAGCACAGACCTTGCACAGGTGGCACTGTGGTGGTCAAAAAGTCCGGAGGGCGTGCGACTGGCCAGGGACACGCATGTTGTTTTTGTTTTGGAACCCGTCCAGTCGGATTGGGTTGCCTGGGTATGATTTGTTTTGTTTTGGATTCTGTACGTATAGCTGACCATGACTAGCGACACTGTTTGGAAAGAACCAGCGGTTGGACTGGGTTGACTGGGTGTGACTTGCTTTTGCTTTGGGATCCGTACATGTAGCTGACCATGGTTTGAAGGCGCTAGCTAGCAAGCCAGAGAGCAACTGGTGACTTTGTACTACAACTTGAGTACGCGGAGCTATCTGTGCAGCTAGAAGCTGAGAACTGGCGACTTTGTAGTACAACTTTCGTACGCGGATGAATCATCTCTCGCTGGTGAGTCATCTCTTGCTCCTGAGTCATCTCTCGCTGCTGAGTCATCTCTCACTGCTGAGTCATCTCTCGCTGGTGAGTCATCTCTCGCTGCTGAGTATCTGGGGAGCTGGAAAATGAGAACTGGCGACTTTGTAGTACAACTGTAAAGTACGCGGAGTATTTGGCAAGCTGGACAATGAAGACATGATTTTGACTTTGAAAACACCACCCACTTCGCGTGCCCGCACCAGCTGCACTTAACTTTCGCTTGCAGATGCCCAGTTGCTTCAGCACGCCGGTGTGGGCTGGTGATCTTGCTTTGGCATAGACACAACCCAGTGCGCTGTTGTGAGCTGCTGATCCTGCAGGGAGCACAGACCTTGCACAGGTGGCGCTGTGTGTGTGTGTGTCCACCTCTGTAACTAAGAGTTTCTGTTTTTTCTCAACTTTTAAGTCGCAGGGGGGCAGAGAGGACTTGCAAGGCTCTGCCCAACGAAGCTCCTTGCAAGATCCTAGGAAGCGGAAGCTGATCACTTCCGTGTACCTGCGCCACAACTGTTGCTCAAGCCGTTCCACTTTCTGCCTTTTTGTTTTATGGTGTTTCACGATACCACCCCCAAACAGGTTTCTCTCAGCAGCCGTCCGCAGATTTGCACCGTTTTGCAGCCGTATCTTCTGAATGCGATTGGAAACCATGTTTCAACCATACTGTTTCAGCTGACTTTTCCACCTTGCGGTTCTTCGCCATCCTTCCCATCGTGGTAACTGAGTTAACTGAAAACCAATGTCAGAGTGTGTTTCGCTCAGCCGTCCCACTCGGGTGCTGAGTGTGATCCCCGTCACAGGGGCGCTGTTTTTGCATAGGAAATCATCCACCCCAACTTACCACCTGCCACTGGATTTCCACTGGAAGTCATTGACACATCCATCGAATCAACTGATGCATTGGCCGCCGGGCCCAAACACGGCAGCTTTTCCTCCACTGAATTTTGTAGCGTCTTGCAAGGGTTTTGCATGATTTTGCATGTAGTTGCTCTTTGATGTGTGACATGACTTTGGATTTACTGAATTTGATGCCGTCGGGCGAACGAAACACCTCCACTTGCATCTCCACTTGCATTTCCATGTGCTGCATTTCAATGTGAGGAATTGCGACCAGTGAAGCTACTGTCCACACTTGCACTTCCACACCCCCCCCCACCTTGCAACCTAATTCGTGTTTCTATCCCACCCGCTATCTAGGGTAACAGAAGGAAATGGTACTCGACACACTTGTGTGTCGGTACCTTTCCTTCTGTTTCTCTTTTTCTACTCCTAGCTACCCGGGCGGTTTAAGACGTATGTCCCGCTCGCTAACTACTGCATTTAATTCATTCGGCTAAGTAGTCAGTAACTAGCAGGTTTCGTAACTAGTGGGCCTTGTCACTACACCTATCTTTCTCTCTTTCCTTTGCGTTTTCCTTTCTGTCTTTCTTTCCTTTCGTTCTAAGGCTTTTTAGGTGATTAGTAAGTTCCCCCAGAGCGCCGATATCGGCGTTCTGTGTGTGTCCACCTCTGTAACTAAGAGTTTCTGTTTTTTCTCAACTTTTAAGTCGCAGGGGGGCAGAGAGGACTTGCAAGGCTCTGCCCAACGAAGCTCCTTGCAAGATCCTAGGAAGCGGAAGCTGATCACTTCCGTGTACCTGCGCCACAACTGTTGCTCAAGCCGTTCCACTTTCTGCCTTTTTGTTTTTATGGTGTTTCATGATACCACCCCCAAACAGGTTTCTCTCAGCAGCCGTCCGCAGATTTGCACCGCTTTGCAGCCGTATCTTCTGAATGCGATTGGAAACCATGTTTCAACCATACTGTTTCAGCTGACTTTTCCACCTTGCGGTTCTTCGCCATCCTTCCCATCGTGGTAACTGAGTTAACTGAAAACCAATGTCAGAGTGTGTGTCAAAAGTCTGGAGCGCATGCGTTTGGCTCAGTGAGGGACACGAGGGACACGCATGGTGGAGAGAACGTGGACACTCCTATAGGTCAATTTCTTCTTATAGGAAACTTCCGCCGCCGGCTCGCCGGGAACTACTTGTATAATTACTATCATTTACTCCCAGGAACTGCTGGAGCATGAAGAAAACCTGTCTCTCTTTACCCTTTGGTCAAGGTCTGTCAACTGAGCGTAGTGTCAATGCTGCCTGATTTTTAACGTAATGCACCTGAGTGATGCAGCACCTCTGAGCACACGACGAAGCGCTTCACCCGTCACAGGGCAAGTCCCACTTTTCTGCAACCACCTGAGGCTTTGGTCTCCAGCCAAACGAAACACCAGCGCGATTTGCTGAGTTTTGCCGCTGTGGCCCTAGGTGTGTGACCTCGCTAATGTGGAACGCTCGAAGACCAACCCACCTGCCATGCCACTGGCCCTCTGAAAGAAAAATGTGTGCAAACAAAATCATTCTTCACTTCAAACCGAGCCCTGTCCCTTCCTGGAGATACAACAGGGTCACAAAGCAGCTTCTGGTCAAGAGCGCATCGTAAATCCTGCGTTCGGCCATTGCTGAAATACTCTGCCGGCGATGATCAATGATCGAAGTCAGAGTTTCCTAACCTATTGACTTGACAAAAGGAAGTGCAAAATGGCCAGCGGTTTACCCATACCCTCAACCACATCAAATCCAAATCGTCTGCTGTCCTTCGGCGCATTCTGCACAATATCGCGCAGTCCTAATTCTGGACACTCACTACAGCCATCCACAGCATAAGGTCCGAACTTTCTTCTGCTTGTTCTCGTATATGCTTCACATTGCTTCACTTGTTTTCCGTACATTGTTGTCGATGTTCTCTGAGTCCCCCCTTCCACACCTGGTTTCGCTGGCGGCGGCTCTGCTGGCACCACTTTGGGTGCCGGCACTGGGGCCGTGCCAAAAAGAGCTAGCCTGGCTTTTTGAGATTCATACAGTCAGTACAAAAAATCCTGATATCTACCACCAATAAAGTATTCACATGTGCTACAGTAAAGGAAGTCTGTCACAATCCAACTCCAAACGCTTTGAATAGAGAACACCCACAAGCAAAGGAGTTCATAGTACAGTCAAATGGATTCAGCGATCCAGCAGAACAAACTGCCGTGACAAAATAAGGCAGCATCACAGGTTGTCACCCGCTGGTGTAAGCCTGATATGTCCCATCACAGTGCAGTACACGGCCTTTCTTATCTTGGTTCAACGATGCTGCGACACAGCTAACCGTGTTCAATCATTGTATTGTGTGAGCTCTCTCCGTCACAGAAGCATTGGTTTTACATCTTCACCTCTTCCCTCCTCAGCTTATGGCACTAAGCCATAGCGGTCATGTCCTTACAGGATCGCACCATGGGAGCGGTCGTCACCAAGCCGAAACGCATCGTATCCCCGATCATTAGGTAGCACCCAATGGAGGCTCCCAATAGCCCTCTCATCTGTGCTCCAGGCGTGTAAGACGCATTCGGGCTCTTGCAATGTCATCTGCAGGCAAAAGACCTCGCCATCATCATGTCGCAGTTGTTGGAAGAAATCAATGATCCAGGTGCCCGCGGATTTGGAGTGGAAGTGGATCCATCCAAGGTATTCTGTCTGAGAGGCAGCAGGTCACAGATTGGAAGGACTGAGTATCAGGCTGATGTACTCACTGAATCTTGGACTCACATAGTCCAGATCCTTGAAGAAGGGCGGGTCTGTTTTTCAAGGCGCTGGTAGGAGGTTTGGTGCTATGTTCAATTTGTACCCCTTTCAAGGGGACCGTCCACTTGGAAGCTGGCGTGTGCTAGCATGGATTAGCTTGGGATCCCCAAACACCTTATGGTTAAAAGCTTTGCTGTAATTAAATTTAAATAGTAATTATATATGTTTGTATAAGGTCTGGAGCCCTCAGGTCTTCAACACACATTCATCGCCAGTTGCAGCAGCAAACCTAAGGCTCCTGCGCCCACATTGCAGGCCAATGCACCCAAAGCAGCCAACGTGGCTGCTCGGTCGCCCACCTCGATTTGCCCAGAAAGAGAGAAAAGGATGACAGGGCCTACTCGAATGCTTTAGATAGGAAACTCTGAACGGGACACGCCACACCAACAGCAATGGCTACATCGGCAGACCACAGGACCTGTGCTTAGTGGGTGGATGCACGCAAAACCATTGGGCAAAACCTGTCCCAGTGTTCCTAGCAAGGAGCACTGGAAAAAGACATACTAGTGACATTGTTTGTGGATGTTTGTGGACTCCGAATGGCAATTGAATGCGTTGGATCCCACAGGAACGATTCCAAAAGGCAGCGCATCTGATTCCCACCTCAGCGCAGCCCAGGTTTGGAGCGTCACAGCAGGTGGTCACCAGCAATCGGCAGCTAAGCCTCAACGGTGAGGAGCTGAGGCCAAAGTGCTCAGGATCTAAGCCGCAAAGAGGTTTCGAAGTCGCCAAGTTGCAGGGGAAAGTTACACAAGCTGTAAGGATGCTTTTCCGAACCGGCTCAATCGAGTCAAAATGTCCACACGTTTGGGTATGAAATGGTAACCTGGGGCCTCGTGCGTGAAGTGGTCGTCGGAGCACCCTTCAGCCCTGCAGCATCAGTGAGGGCTCAAGTCGGGAAACCGGGGGGGAGATGTCTTCATTTTGGTGGCCTGTGCCGGAGCACCCCCTAGACCCACGTCAGCCTTGTAAGTCCAAGCAAACCAGAACTACCAGCGAAGAGGTTGCCTCATTCCTCAAGTGTGCCAGATCCACCCGGAGTTGGTGGAAATGGCTAACAGTTTGAGCAGCCGGCAATCCACTCTGTGAAACCAATGCCGCAGCCAAGCAAGCACAACCTCAGCAAGGCAAAGCAGTGACGTCATACTTCGGCTCCAAACCCAAAGAGCGTGAGTAGAATTGCACTACCCTTGTGTCTGGAGGACATGATATCTGTTCATTCTCTGTGTAGTGTACTGTCGTCTCTCTCCAGTCTGCTATCAGCTCCTGGTGTCTATGTACTAGCCCGCCCTTGAAAGGTACGGAAAAAAAGGATCAATTCGCATGCGTGCTTGCTCCCTCTCCAGCTATTATGGGCATGGCAGTATGGTTTTCCTTTTGAGGAGACTCATCTTGCGCGAGTGGAATGTGAACCCAGCACCAAGCCTCATACCAACGAAACCTTTGCTGGGCCCTTTGACTTGCAAGCAGCTCGCGAAGGCTGATATTGCTGTCAAAGCCTTGTGCAAGGACCGCCTGCGAGTTTGCGTCAAGCATTGTATTCTGGCGTGCTTGCTTTCAGCAACTATGAACAGAATCAAGTACTTGCAATGCGGCTTCCTGGGGGTCGGATGCAACATTCATTCACATTCCCCGAAAACTGTAAAATAGTTGTATATATATATACAGTGTGTATATATGTATATTATTGTAATATATATATATATACATCATATGTTATATTATGTTAGATTATATTGTATTAGATATTATATATATATTATTTATATACATTATTTATATAAATATATATATATTAATATATATATTATATTACATATATTATACTATATATATTATATGTATATATATATATGTGTGTGTGTGTTCTGCTTTTTCAGAACAAATAAGCTTTGAACCTTTGTAAAATGCCTCTTCTGTAAAACAGATTCCCAAAACACAAAACCCTAGGTGTGCAAACAGCATGTGGTTCCCTGGCGCCTCAAGCAGGCGACCTAGCTTGTCCGCTATTCGATGCACCTAGCTTGTTCGATCAGTGCTCGGATGGTCGAGGGGAACCCGTCAGGCTTTAAAGCTTACCGACTCTTGTTGCCTCTACGTGATGAGCACCACCCCACACATGTCTGAGGTCGACGCATGTGCTCGGAGTTTCAACAAAGGCGAATGGGGAACCTCTCGGGTTGGTGCGGCCACCTTGGATCGTGGCCGGATGAATTGCAGACCCACAAATACCATGTTGTAGAATGTTCCTGTGAATTTCTTGTACAAAGTGGGGATTCAATTTGATGGTGAATTTATTTCCAGGGCTATTGAGCTCAACTCAGGAAAGCCTGGTCATTCAAGGCAAAGGGTTGCATTTCATTTAGAACGGTGCTGAATCAAGAGACCTCCCTGGTCCCGGTGCTGTGTTGCAGCGTTTCGCGCATGGACGCCGCACGTATTCATTTCACACATTGACTTCCGACATAATCCATGTGACAGTACGGGTATTTTTTTTTGAACCATCCATATTAGTTCCGCAGAAATCACCATGCCAAAGTCTTGGATAAAAAGCCCTTGTTTGAAGTTAATGACAACAATTTTGAAAACGACTCAGGTGAATCTCCAAGATCTCTCTTTTGTCCGAAGGTACCGGCGCCAAAAGTGAGGATAAGAACTGAAAGAACTTGAAACCAGTCGCTGCACCTGAGCATCTGTACATCTGTAGCTTCGACTGATCCTCAACTCTGGAGTTCGATAAGGTTGATTTGGATTCTGAAGGGAAAATGTAATTGCTTTTATTTGAGCTGCATTAAAAACTGATCGTGCTGGTGCTCTCCAGTTTCCTATTCCATCCATCAATTTGTCGAGCAATGTTTATGACTGTGTTGCGTTCAATTCTTCCATTGCAGTTGATAAAGTTGGGCTGATAATAGCGTGAATTTCTCCAGCACCTTTGAGTTCCTTAACACATTCAATGAGTGCGCTTTTATCCGCATCATGACGCTTTCATACATTCTCTTCAAAATGTCAAACCTAACATGTCTGTCGACGTCGAACCGGACCCACCCTCCTCCCAAAGCAG